GTTAGCAGAAAAAACAGAGTAACTTCCCCCCTCCCCCCCACCCCCTTTTTCTTTTCCCCCTGCTTTTTAAACAGGGGGGGGAATCTGATTCCCATTTTAAAATGGAAAAACTAAAGCAAGGGACAGAGCAGTAACCTGTACTGACTGTGTGAGCTCAAGGAAACATCAGGCACGAATTCAGGCTGCCAGTTTATTGGTTTAGGTATTAACCTGTTCTGCCTGAGGTACCAAATTTTCTGTTGAAACAAAACAACAAAAGCAGCACGAACTAGAGAGGCAGGGATGCATGCATCAAGTAACATGGCAGAGCAGCCAAAGGACCTGGGTACTTGCACTGAAGACCAAAAACTATTTGCCCACTCTGGCAGAAATGACTGCAGAGAACAGAATTAGGAACTGCTCACACACCAGAGCCCATCTTTCCCAGCAGCAACCATCACATTTCAGTTCCAGTCTCCTCCAGCACCAGGCACAGCAGAGCATTCTACATCCAGCACAGCCTGGAGGTGCCAGGGGAGAATAAAATAAATTTCCCCAATGTTGCTGACCTGTTACATAGAACACCCCATCATCTCTGCGCTTCACAAGGATGTGATCTACTGCCAAGGTGATAGGAACAGGGCCAGGGGAGGTAGGGTACACCCGGGGGCTGTCATCCTGGAAAAAAAAAAAAAAAAAAAATAAAGCAGAGAAGAGATTAACTGCTGTGACAGCTCCGGCAACTCTGCAAAGGATTCCCCCTTGCCCCCAGCCTTCACAGGAGTAGCGTTACCAACTGGCAGCACTACCAGAGCCCACCAAGGTCACCCACCATATGGAAAAGCCTGGCTTTATATACAGGGCTGCACGTGAGTCTTAATCAGTGTAGAAAGCACTTCCACAGATCAGAACCAAGTTCTGTCACATCCATAATACAGGTTGAGAAGAGAGGGGCCTATGGCCATCAGCCTGAAGGCTGTTCTCACAGTTGTCATCCTACAAATTCCCGATTCAAGCCCGTAGCCAATATTCCTTCACCAAAAAAAGCCAACATCCCTTAGTCTGGAGATTTTCATGGTACTGTGCAGCAGCACTGGCTCCTGCTTGCCAATGGAGCCAAAGGATTGCTTTCAAAAAGGTTTAATCGAGAACTTCTGACAGTGCCCCCCTCCTAAATAGCAGCCAGCTTTTATATGACGTTTTTCATCTGTAATTCTCTAAAGGTTTACAGAAAAGGTCAAATATTTCCCATTTCAAACAAGCACTTGGAGGAAGAGGTATTTAATTCTTTCCCTTGAGTCTGCAAAGCAGGTCATCAATAAAGCTGGGAAGAGAATCTGAATGGCAGGTTCCCATTTCTCTACAATCTGATCACTCATCAATTCCATTGTGTTACTTGTTCATCCCTAAGGCAGTTTTTACACGTGAAATAAAACAGTATCAGGAAAACAGGACCTCTGCAGAGGCCCACAGCAATCCCACAGCATCCCTTCCCAAGCAGGATCTTGCAAGTGACCTCTGCCCAGGCTACCAACCTGGGGGGAACCTCTCACCTTCAATGTGATTTTGGCATCCACAACTTCTATCTCCATGGGGATCACCTCTGGAATTATTTCATCCTCAAGAAAGGGGCCCAGGTTGGTAAGGAAGGACATGAAGAACTCTGCTGTGTAACTGTGGACCAGCATATGAAGGAAGCCATTCTGAACAGCGAGCGGTGAATGCACAGCAGCATTAGGTCCTACTTCAAGACGTAAGCACACTTCTGGCTGGGTCTTAGTAGCTTCAGGGACTGAAGGCTTCTCTGTACCTGGATCCCCTAGAGCTATAAGCAGAAAGATCTCACTGCAGGAGATGGCATCGGTAATAAGATATAAACTCAAAATAGGTATCTTGAAGAGCCCTTTACTGTCCAGATGAAGGATGGAGTCAAGTTCACAATGACAGCTATCTGAAATCATCCTTCACATGAAATGAATCTGAATTTCAAACGACTGAAAATGAATCTGAAATTCAAAGAGTCCACATCACAGGAACTAACACCAGAACTGGACCATTTAAGCCCCCAGACGCATCCCCCTCTCTCACCAGCTCAGCACACGTTAAAACTAGCCTTCGTTTTCAATACACACGAGCTGACCAAACTCACTCCCCACTCCGCTCTCCAGAGATGATCAGCCTTCCCACCGTCCCCAACACTACCTAATCTTGCATTCCACTTTGCCCCCTCGTGGCCATAGCCAGTACTGTTAAGGGAAGGATCAACAGTCCAAGAACCGCTGCTCATGCTTCGACTCGAAGTTTGGGTTGTAGTTGCTTTTGGTTTCAGGGGGTTTTTTTGGAGTTGGGTTGGGTTTTTTCTTTTTCCGTGGGTTGGTTGTTTTTTTTCTTTTTAATTTGAATTTAGCCCTGGGGAAGTACCCTCGCCCAGAAGCATCATTCTTAGGGCAAGAATAACTTCAGGGTTTCCCTAGATAGCCTTGTTCATTCTTTTAATTAATTTCATGCATCCTAGCAGCAATTAAAAAAAATAATCCCAGTCAATGATTACTAGGCACGGTAGAGCTTGATGGTGTAGGCACTTTGGAAACATCTTTCAAATATCAGATTTGAACCAATGACAAAAAGATTCTTTAGCACTCACATTCCCACACACACAAGTCATATTCAGTCCTAAACATATTAAACGTTAACACTGAAGTACCAGTTAAAATAGAGTATTCCCTGAAGGTGGCTGGTATAAAAGCAGACTCCAAGAGCCAGGGTCTTACCCAGATAGCCACGCAGATATTGCCACATTCCAACATTGTTCAGTTGCTCTGGAACCACATTCATTACTTGTAAAGCAACAGACAAATCATCACCTCGTGCCTCTATTCCACAGTTCACCTCATTCATCTTCAACACAAGGACAGAGACCTGAAAGAGCAAGCAGCAAGCTCACTTATTAAAACAAACATCACTGCATGGTTTGCTTCCAGATTACCTTAGAGACAAAATCACAGTGAAAAGGAACAGAACTCTGACCAGCTGAAGGCTGGGGTCTTCACTCTGTGAAGTCGAGCTGTTTATTTCAGGAGACACTCCACCCTCGTCCTCTGCCATCAGGCTTGTTCTACTGCCTGTGTCACTGTGGACCTGAGGAAGATGCCCTGAGGGAAGAGGGTCCAGGCTGGGTTCTGAAATGGAAGTAACAGCAACAACTCGATTCTGTTTCTTTTTCTGCTTTTAAGAAGTCCTGATCTCAGTATCTGCCTGAGTCTCATGGCCTATCAGCCTATACCATCCTCTGGGGAACTCTCTCCAGCTCCTCAGGTGAATTTAAGCAATATAGAGCGGAAGTGGAAGACATCCACCAAAATGCTCAGTGTCCCCTATTTCCAGCCAGCCCTTACTAAACCCTTCCCAAATGCTACGTACCATCCACCCACCTGCATGCATTTACAATCCTTGCTCTAGTATGGCCAAATGCCTCAGACCACCACTGTGATGGGCAGGGGTCACCCTCCCCACTCATTTATACTCCTCATCTCAAAGAAAAGGCACCTATAAAAGCAGAAAGAGCCATTGCGGGTGATCTACTCATGACCTTCAAAAAGAAGGAATGGCACAAGCGAGTTCCATACGAACACAGCATGACTCAGTTGTCCATGGCAGAAAACTATTCACCGGTGTGAAATAAAAGAGTGGGGGAGAGGATAAAGCCAAGCGCTTGTTACCAGAGTCTGTGAGCATCACAAAGCCGTCACTGCCATCGCTGTCCACAGAGAGCCCATCCTCAGGGCCGCTCCAATCCACAGATGTGGTGTCAAAGGAATGCTGGGATGCTGTCCTCTTCATGGAGAAGAAACGCATTCGGCTGCTGCCACTCCCACTTGGAGTCACTGCTCCCTCTTCTGCTTTGGGCACAGAATCCCTATCAGGAAAAAAAAAAAAGGGGGATAAAGGCAAACAGCTTTGCTTCCAGGTTATAGAGATATTGGGCAGGACTCTGAACACTTGCAAGTCAGACATTGGTGTACTTAGGTGCCCTCTTCAGGAAAAACACCCCCATGCGCCCCCTGCCACTCCCACTTGGAGTCACTGCTCCCTCTTCTGCTTTGGGCACAGAATCCCTATCAGGAAAAAAAAAAAAAAGGGTGATAAAGGCAAACAGCTTTGCTTCCAGGTTATAGAGATATTGGGCAGGACTCTGAACACTTGCAAGTCAGACATTGGTGTACTTAGGTCAGATCTTCATCTCTTGGGCTTGGTCTATCTCTAATCCAAACGATATGGAAAGAAAGGGAACAATCTGCCTAGACCTCCTCGCTTCCCTGCAGCCTTGCTGCTGCTATGGTGAAGCACAGGAGGATGGCCCACTCACTTGGCTGGGGGGAGGGAGAGCATTTTCTGCATGGTGGAGGTCATCTTCTCCCGGCTCAGGCTCAGAGCATCTTTTGTTATAGACATGGCTTCTTTGGTGAGGTCCATAGTCACGTGCAGAGCTTCCTTCGTGGCATCCTTTGTGATATGCAGTGCACTAGACAACTCCACCTCTATGTTCTTCAAAGGGATGAGTTCTGCCTGGCCATTGAGAGTTATGTTTTCTCTCCCCAAGGGCTGCGTATCTGAGGTTGGGGTAGACGGGAGGGTAGGAGGGGTCTGAGGACGGCTGCTGGTCTCTGCTGGTCTTTCTGCAACCAGGGCTTCCACAGCTTCATGTGCTTCCTCTATCAAACCTTTCTCCTCTATGCTCTTACTATGTGGAGCTGTACTCAGAGCTCCATCACTTGCAGATTTTGGGAGTCCCTCCAGTGGTACACTGGTTACACTGGTACCTGTATTTTCAATCCCGCTGTCCTCTGGAACCTCTGAGCTACTGCATACTTCCTTCTCCGAACTGGTCTCCGATTTCAGCTCCTTCTCTTCAGCCACCAGCCCCTCCTTGCTGTCTGAAGGTGAGAGCTCGGACTCAATCAGGCTTGTTGTGTCTGAGTCAAGAGATCTGGGTTCCAAGACAGAGCCTGGTGCGGGGTTCATGAGTAGGGCCACTTCGGCACTGTGGAACACAACTCCTACACAAGCAGACATGGAATCTAAAGGAGACCCAGTCACTTCCTGGGTATCTTGGGCCAACTGCTCCTGTAGTGTTTGCAGAACTTCTTTCATCCTCAGCAGCACCAAGTATTGGTAGTGGTTGAGCCGAACTTTGACATGAACAGATGAGGACACAAGCACATGGATATCAGCAGAGGCTTCCAGCTCTTTATCATCTACTCCACCATCAGTTTCACAGTCAGATTCTCCCAAGACATCCATTGTCTCTGGGACCTTATAGATGTTCTTCAGATCCTGGTCAGTCTTTGATCTTTGACAAACCCCATGTTCTCTGGAAAGGTTCTCATTCTTGGAGTGATTGCTAAAGCTGGCAGAAGGCTTGATTTTCAACTCAGAGGCAGCCAATTCCTGTCGTTTAGATATCTGAGCTTGTCCCCATCTCTTGGGAAGGCAGGCCCAAATGGAAAGGGGAAAAGGGTCAATAAAGCTAAGGGCTCTGCCCTTTGAGCTTTCAGCCCCCTCAAAGTCCAGGGAAAGCTCGGTGAAATTCACGGACCACAGATCTTCAGAGGCAGAGGTTTTGTGGAGTAGCTGGGGGAAGCCTGGATATTTCTGAGGCCTATCATCCACCTCATAGGCATGGCGCAAGAAAAGGGTGTGGAGGAGGCTGAAATTGTCCTGAGACCTTGGGAACTTAGTGTAGCTGGAGTGGAAGAATTCTGAACTGGCAAATTTACGGAAGAGGCTTTGAAGGTCCTGACAGCTGCAGAAGGGAGCGTGGCGGGTGTTGGTGGCAGTCATCTCTGATGTGCAAATGCAGAGTGTCTGTGGACGATCTTGATGGTCAATGACTTTCTTCTCCACAGGGATGTTAAGCTACACAGAGGAGAAAGACATTACAAGTAAAGTGGTGAAAAGGGAAATTAACAGAGGCTTATCCTGGCCATGTACACAGACGGTCAGATGTAAAGTATATAAAGAATGGAGAAGTCTTGGTCTCTACTAAAATCCCAGAAGCTGGACTACACTTTATCCCTATCTGAAAAAAGAAATAAAATTTACAAATCAGGGAAGAGGAATCAGACACCAGGGAATTTAAACTGAGTTTTACTTCAGGTTCTTTTACCGTCCATGGCTTATGTAGCAGCTCAACTTACAACATTCACTTTCATCTTTCCCTGCAAGGGCTCACTATGCTTTCAGGCCTTTAAGCCTCTTAAACTTAAAACAAAAAGTTTTTTTTTCTTTTTCCAGGCCCTTAAGCCTCTTAAACAAAACTGCTAACAAGGGTAATCAATGACAATCACCATAGGATGTCAATGCAGCCGATGTAGGCCCACTGGGAATGGTATGACAGTCCAAGTGGTTTCCAAAGGCCAGAAAACAACTTTAGACTATTTGAACCACCAGTTTCTCCTTGAAATACTTTTTCATAAATACTGACTCACCTGCCTATTCTGGATTAGAGCTCAAGCACCTGTTTTAACACTCACAGAGCAAAACAAAACTAACACAAAAGTGTTAGACAGAAGAAAGGTAGAGAAAGGTGGAGGTTTTGTTTTCTCAGTCTGGACTCCAGCTACGTCCTGGTCTCACATTCCTTCCATGACAGGGAGGGAGTGAACACTGAAGACTGGGAAAGGAAGGAAATTGAATGGTACCTTCAGCCGGAAGCCATCCAGTCGAACATCAACATGCTCATCATGCTTTCCCGAGTCCTCCAGCTTGTAGATGGCTTTGAACTGCTCCAAGCTGCGATAAAGATCCAGACAGAAGAGGTTTATCCAGAGCACACTTGCTGTATCCAGGGTAAGCATGAGGCCATTCAGCTGTACATATAGGTTTGGGCAAGGAACTAGAAAGAAACAGAATCAAGACAGATTAACAATAGCAGAAAAGGCACTTCAAGTGGTCTGCAGCTCAGTGTATACCCTGCACTGACAAACCCAACGCAGAGCGTTCAACACCCACTGGAAGACAGATCTCTTGATTAAAGGGAAAAGCTGGGGCACACCAAAGAAATGAGGCGTTCCAGGTCTCACATCAAGTCAGCTGCAGAGCACTCAGAGCACCCTACAGTCCGACTCCAGTGCTAATCAGTAAGGCAGAACCCCAAGAGCTGGGCAAACAGCAGCTCCTTCAACACGTTCCTGGATACATTATTTTCCAAGCACCATTTTGCCTCCACATTTTGTACCAGGCAATCTCTATCCCCTTTTCCCACAGGCAAAAAAAAAAAAAATATTAGAAAGGCAAGCATCAGAAAACTAAATAAAAACGGACTCCCAGAGAATACATAACAGGGTTAACACACCTAAAGAATTGACTGATGCTTTAAGAAACTTATGAAAGAAGGTGCTAACCTTGGTGTATTACCTGGAAAGTCCTGATTGTCTGGGAAGTAATACTCTGTGAATTCAATATGGATTGCAGAGACCTGATCAGGAAGTTTGAAGAATTTTCTACTACACGAAAGCAAGGTGGAGGGTTTCTTACTTTGTTGACCAGCCGTGGAAACCTGAAAAAAAACAATGGTAAGCACTTGTGCAGAATGTGGATTTGGCAAAATAAAGCGCCCCAGTAACCCTGCAGTCTCCCGTAATCAATCCATCTCATTCACACATCAAACATTCTCTGCTTTCAAGTAAAAATCCTCACCAACTTCTCAAATTCATGAAATCTTTTACCCTGGGCCTGCCTAATGTTTGATGCAAGTTTAGATATGAACAGACACGGAGTGCAGAAACTGTGGTTACGCATGCAGTTTCCTCCGAACATGAAAATTATCATCAGTTCAGACTTGGTTTAAGAGTTTTACATGCCCCATAGCAACACCATTTGGGTTCTCTGGGCAGAGTTTTGACTGTCTTGGATGACATGAGATTTGCATGATTTCTTTGAATCGTATCAGATTAAATTTCTTTTTTAAAAAATGATGTGAACATCTCCAGGCACTGCTCAAATCCCTACCTGGTGAACATCCAAGTCATCCACTCGAACTACCACACAGCTGGATCGAAGCCGGTTCCAGGGAGGGTGCCAGAGCCGTGGCAAACTTGTGGGAGGTACACGGCCTTTCTCTAAGGGACTTTTATGAGGACTCAAGGAAGTATCTGTGGGGATGGAAAAGCAGAACCAGCAGGGCTTTACTCATCTTCTTTGCAGCGAACTTCACCATCAATACCAACATGTATGCGCATACAGTGCAGAATTAACAGCCCCAAAATTAGAAACAGATGGGCATGGCTAGGCAGGACAAAAAAAAAAGTATGATAGCCACTTTCCTTTGCTATTATATTTATGATTTTTAGTGTGCTATGATTTCTGCACCAACAAATCAGCCTGCAAAACTGGGGAGAGGTAACTACAGATATTGCTGGATGGAGACAAATTGCTACTGTCTCCTGCTTTACTACGAGTTTTATAAAATGTCACTACCTGGTTTCCTTTTGAAGGGGGAAAGTGGAGTCCTGGCAAATGCAGGGTCCATTTCTTCATAAAGCTTCTCAATCTTGCTTTGAAATTCACTGACCAGCTTCTTTGCCCACTGTCCCCGTGTTTCCATTGCTTCGCTGTACCTCACCCAATGCTTGCAGGCATCTCCTACATGAAAGCAAACATCCTGGCTTTAAAAATGAGGTTTCTGCATACACACAACCCTCCTGGCACCCCTCAAATGTATGCAAATCTGTATAGCACTCCTCTTTATTGATACCACATCTGGAATATGCAATATGCAGCATACTGAGTGCTTGTGAAACAAGTGCAGGCTTTCACACAACAGAGCTGGTCCTACCAACAAGTATTCCAAATTCAAGTGTTGGGAAGAATGGCAAGGTCACTTTTCCTTGATTCTTCAGTTAACCACAAACAGATTTTCTCCTAGGATACATCCTATAACCCTTCCAAACTGATAAGGCACATGTTAAGAACCAGATCCGGAGCTTAAGCAACTGAAAAGAAATCCAAAGTTTTAACTTTAGGGCTTTATAACAGACAGCAACTTATTCCTCCTCTTGTACTCTGCTCTGCCAGCAACTTGTCAGTCATTCACCAACAAGTAAATTAGATTAACCCTGCCCATGAGGATTTAAATCCCAAGTGCCCTGTGTAGCTTTTCTTCCAGTCCTGCCAGAAGCCATACAGCATCACTGTTCTTCAAATTCTTTTTTATCCCCCTTCTCAAGTTGGGAGGCCACACACTCCCCTACCTGCCCTGTGGAAAGGGTAATAGTCAAAAGCCATCCTCCTGAAGGTCAGCTGCATGGCACCTCCCAGCATCCCATGCTTTAAAGCACCTGTAGAAAACACAACAAAGAAAACCATGATCAGCTCCATAATCCAAGTCCTGATCCAGGAAAATTCAGAACAACGTTGCTTCGATTGTCACCACTGACTGATTGTCACCACGGGTAGTATTAAGGTATCGTCTTTTAGAAAGCTGTATCAGAATCTTGTCCTAGGCAAGGAAAAGGACAACCAAAAGTAACAGTCAAATAATTCATACCATATGAACCAGACCTAGAATCTCAAATACCAAAATGCAAGATCCCATTGTTTCCCAGGCCCCTATCAATTACACTTCCCACTACAGTAACCAGCTCTTCCATTTTGAGCCCTTCCTGGTAGGGCCAGCAAAATAAAGAAAACGAAACTGTGCTAAGATGTTGATAACAGCAGCTCAGGAGACAGCGATACACCGATCTTAAAAAAAAAAAAAAAATCTGGAATAGCAATGGATGCGGGTAGTAGAATTTTTCCTCCCCCTTTTTAAAGGGAAGATGTGTAGAAACAAACAGTACAACCTGGCTTAGAGATGGCCACGCAAAGGGAGGAGGGGAGTACATTTGCCTCAAAAAAAGAGTACTTGGAAGTACATCTCAGTGGGTGGAATCTAGGAGTAAAACACATACAAATTCACAAAGCCTTGCTTGAAAAGAATATGGTACGCAGGGGAATGGCCTGTCAAAGAAGGCAAAGAATCCTTGTAGCTATGCTACTGAGAACATCCTGAACACTTGTCAAAACAAACATTTTCTCACCAAGTGGAACAATCACATTTTATTCCCATGCTCAATACCAGATTGTTCCTAGAGCATGTCTTCTATTGCTTCAACTAGGTCACTGGCAACCACATCCACTGATGGACTTCCCCATATTTGTCCCACAGAGCCAATAAAGATTTTCCAGTAGCTATTCAGACATACAGAACTGATCTCTCCATCAGCCTGAACAACTCCTGTTGGCTCACTGGGAAACAGTAACATAAAAGACGCTTGTTTTCAAGAGGAAAATCCTCCTTCAAGAGAGAAAACTGATGACCAGATTAATGTTTTACTATGCAGCATCCTCCTGATGCTGCTCTCAGTTACCTGACTCTCGACTGTGGCTGTCATCGCAGATGTGCAGATCCAAGCGCGAGATGAGGAGGTGGTACGACGACTCTTTCATGTCATGCTTATCAAAGTACTGACCAATGCTACTTGCATTTGGGCTGACTCCGAACGGCTGAGACCAGGACTGCTGGGTACTTGGGGCAGGTGGTGTGATCTATTAGACAGAAACAAACTTGGTAAGAACTAATAAAAAGAAAAAAAAAAGTTATAATGCAATTAAAAATAACTCATGCAATCTTCCAGACCGCAAGGCATCAATTTATAGAAATTGGATTGGGAGTCCAGAAATCTGGATCCTTTCCTATGTTCTCATGAGCAAAATTCTTTGTCTGTTGATCTGCCTCCTCTGCATCTTAGAATGTGCTTTAAGACTCCTGGATAAAAAGGACTAAGAATTTCTGATCCCCCTTCTATGTAATCTCACTGCACTATGTGTATGACCCTCCTTCCTCAGAGCTTCCACCACCAGCAGCGATATTCCTCTTCCCTCACCCTTGTTTCTGAAAACATCTTTTGTCCCCTACCCTATGTATTTATCCCGTGACATTCATCGAACAATTACTCAGCACAGCATTTTGGAAACAAAAGAAAGCGGTAATGGAAGTTCAAGGTTACTGGCAGACACAGCTGCTTTAAGGTTCTCACACACTGCTAAGCTATATGCAAACCAAAGAACAATTGCAAAAATCAAGAGCTATCTCCAGAGTATTAGGAAGAAAAAAAAAAAGAAACCCGAACAACAAGAGTGAAATTGGATGCCAATGTCTTCCCTTGAGCACCACAGCTCACTATGGTTTTAGGTCATCATTTATTATAGTATATACAGAGTCCCTTCCCCCAGGCCTATGCAGATTGTCATTAGGAGGCAGAAGATTATTTCTAGAACATATTTATTGCTTATTACCATACCAAATCCTCCTGGGACCCTCTGCAACTTTCCATGTGCCAGCCAAATCCAGAAAGCCATGCAACTTAACATCCCTTTTTCCCCACCAGCAAACAGAATCTAGCCTGTGACTACATATGAATATTCTCTAATGCTTATCAGCAATGAATCCAACTCCTTTGGCCACTCCATTACGCCACAATAGCCCAGAATCCACGCTATGCTGACCTGACACCAGGTAAGCCTACTGGCTCCCATCAGGGAGATGCTCTGTGAGCAAGGGCGAGATGCCACACAAGCAGAAACAGTCTCTTTCACCTTGTCTTTTCCTCTTTCCTGGCAGGCCAACATTCAAATCATGACTTACTCACCTGTACAGACTCTGGTGCCAAGCTCTTCCTCTGCTGTGCAGACTTCTCCATGGCTTCACTCAGAGACTCTGCATACTTCATCATTGCTTTCAGCTGAGAGTCTGTCAGCACCCAGAGGAGGTCATCAAGGAGAAACATCAGCTTAGATGCCATCACATTGCAATCTTTGGTCTGAAACAGCAAGAAGGAGTTGGGGACTTTAAGAATTGCAACCATACACATACATTCTTCATAATACACAGAAGCTGTAGCAGAAACAAGAGACACTGCTCTGAAACTCATCTGAGAGAGAAGTTAACTCATCTGGTGGATGTCTGCAGTACCTCCTCCGAGAAGGAAAGTAGTCAAAGCTACCTCCTCTTTGGAGGGCAAACTGCTCACTGGTTTAAAAAACACAAACAAAACCAAAAAAAGATGATGATTTAATTTTTTCTTTTAATCTACGCTTCACCACATCTTCATTGACAACTAAAAATAAGGCTACCAGGCTTTAATCTCCCAGTAAAGAGATGACAGCTCTCCTTGGGATGTTCAAATGGATTTAAAAAACTTGCTCCATACATGTTATCTTCCCCTGGGAAATAAACTGCTTTGACATTTGGTAAGAACACAGCTGTTTCCAACAGAAAACACAGAGCGATGTAGCAGATTGGGCTCAACATTTGTGAAGGAAAAGAACGGTTGCCGAGGAACGTGGGAGGAAATATGCATCATCACTGCACCAGGCAGTGAGACTGTATCCTGCAAAGCATGGAGGAAACTCTCACCCTTCTCTTGAGAGAGATCTGGATCCTCCCTTGGTTGGTAATGAGTCTCAAAGGAGTAGTAACAGGATCCTGATCGCCATTGTCAGTGGCATCTGCTTCTATCCGAAGTGTCTGCCAGGTGAGCTCTTTGAATGTCAAAACCTACCCAGAAGGAGAAAAATAGGAAAATGCTGATATTTTCAACAACTTCAGGGAATAAACTAAATGCTTAAAAGATGTGGAATGAAACAAGGCCACAGAAAGTCATTCAATGCATTTTTCTTCTGTGCTCCCAGTACAAAAACGAAATCATGCCCCAGGTAACATCTAACCCACTCTCTCACACGAGTTTAAAACCAGACAAACCACAGGGGCATTCAAAGCTTCTCCAGCTTCATTCTCTCAGATTAGAAGAGCTCAGAGAAAGCCCTAAATGCAAGCCAGCTCTCAGCCATCCTGTTCCAGCAAGAAGCAGGCAAGCTCCCTACTGTCACTGTATGGGAATTCAGACAACAGCCCAATTGCCCCAGGGCGCTGGGGTAACACGAGGGCCACCCTTCTGAGCACGTTAGGACAGGCAACATACGAGGACCCTTTACCTCTCCTCTCTGCGGATCAGTAATGCGGGTGAGTCGCAAGTCACTCTGTTGCCAGTTTGGGTTGACACTGTAGCCTTGGAGCTGCCATAGCTCAAAAGAAGCATGAAAGGCCTTGGAGTGGATCTTGATGGTGATGGAATTGACAACGATAAACATCCCCTCCACGACTTTTTCAGCAAAGCCATATTCACTGCAAAGAGAAGATCCCTCAAAGTCATCACCTGTTACAATAAAAGGCCCAGTAGGTGTAGATGACAGAGAGACTCCAAGGTTTATCAGCAGTATTAGAACCACTTAAACCTGAGTGCAGAGAGGCCATTGAGAACGATGGCCACCATACCCCAGTAGCATGTCAGAAAGAAAGCACAGGGGTTGGGGTCTGACCTTTGACCTGCAGCAAGAGCAATGGGAGACTGTCCGTTGGGTGGCCGAGGTTCTTCGCATGTTCGCATCTCTACCTCCACTTTGTCCAGGTACTGTAAAGACAGAACATGGGAGTGATAAATAGAAGACCAAGACTCAAACTCAGCCTACCAGCCCTAGGTCTGAGACTCCAGGGCAGGGATAAACAAGCTCTGGAGTCTCTTGCCTCTCCAAGAGCCTCACGTGTTAAAGCTCTCACGCCATCGGTGCCAGGATCCTTGGGTAATCTGAATCCCCAGAATTGGGGGAAAAACAAACACCAAAAACCAGGCACAAGGTTACTCTGGACTTCACTGAGAGCTCAGCCCAGCTCCATCCTGCAATGAAATGTGGGACTCGTGGGAGGTCACTCATTGCCAAACAGGACTATTCTCAGAACTCCCCTTCCCCTATGTGCTAAGGGCCGTGAGGATTTAGGTGAAATGAAAAGTTGAGCACACACTTCACAGTCCCCCAGAGTTTACAGAACTTTCACAGTCTCCCCACAGTTCGCAGAGCTTTTTTCAAGTAAAGGAAGAAAAGGAATGAACAAGAGGAAACATTACCAGGCAGATTGGATGTGTTTTCAGCTTTGTCCACTGGATCTGAAACAATAAAGTTGAGGTTATAAGATTTATCTTCACATTGGGAAGTTTGAGAAATTGCAGGGAATCATTTGAGCCCAAAGTTCTTCTCCTAGAAATGACCACAGTGACAATCCATCCTGTCTCACCAAACCCAGGTCAAACAGGCTCACACAGACAAATGAAAAGACATTCCAGCCGCCAGACCTATAAAGCCAGCTTAGGTTTTGGGTCTCACATAGCATCATGAGTAACGGATACCCTGCAGGTCAAATTCTGATTTTTCATATTCGTTTATGGAGAACGTTCTTATCCTTAAAGAGTTTACAGTCAGTTGCTGCTGTTACTGGAAGTCAGGTAACTCTTTTGAAGACGGTGCACAAACCAGAAAGATCCATTTTATTTTCTTACAGCAACACTTATTCTGCAGTTCTCGTAGGAGGAAGAACAAATGTTTGTTACTAAATTAAGTGGATCTGACTCTAAAAACAGAGCGGATCAGATGAGCAAGACAGGCTCATTTTTATTGTCACTTGGCAGAGTAGAACCATATTTCTTTTATAGCAAGTCTCTTCAATATACTAAAAACTTCTGCACTCATGTAATGCAACTATGGTTAGTACCAACAGAGATTAAACAATCTGGCATTTCATAGCAACTGGAAAAAAAAAAAATCAATTTTTTGCTCTAAAAAGCACAAAGAGGAAGAATTTGTAGAGTCCAGTGTGCAAAAGTGCAACTGTATGTGCATGCACAATTTCAGCAATTATGCATGTAAAAGAGCAACTGTGGGCATAAGGGCTGAGAGCAGAGAGTGCAGCTTTTCACAGAATCACAGAATCACAAGGGTTGGAAGGGACCTCAGGAGATCATCTAGTCCAACCCCCCTGCTAAAGCAGATTCTCCTAGAGCATGCTACACAGGACTTCATCCAGGCGGGCTTTGAATATCTCCAGAGAAGGAGACTCCACAACCTCCCTGGGCAGCCTGTTCCAGTGCTCTGCCACCCTCAGAGTGAAGAAGTTTTTCCTCATATTCAACTGAAACCTCTTATGTTTCAGTTTGCATCCATTGCCCCTAGTCCTGTCGCTGGACACCACTGCAAACAGACTGCTTCCGTCCTCTTGACTTCCGCCCTTAAGATATTTGTATGTGTTGATGAGATCCCCTCTCAGTCTTCTCTTCTCCAGGCTGAACAAGCCCAACTCTCTCAGCCTTTCCTCATAGGGGAGATGCTCCAGTCCCTTTATCATCCTAGTAGCTCTCCTCTGGACTCTTTCTAGGAGTTCCTCGTCTTTCTTGAACTGGGGAGCCCAGAACTGGACACAGAGCTCCAGGTGGGGTCTCACCAGGGCAGAGTAGAGGGGGAGGAGAACCTCCCTCAATCTGCTGGCCACACTCCTCTTAATACACCCCAGGATACCATTGGCCTTCTTGGCAACAAGGGCACATTGCTGGCTCATGGTCAGCTTATTGTCCACCAGGACTCCCAGGTCCCTCTCAGCAGAGCTGCTATCTAGCAGGTCATCCCCCAGCTTGTATTGGTGCATGGGGTTCATGTGCACTATTCACGCGTTTCTTATGAATTGCATTTTCAACAATTAAGACAAGTTAAATTTATTTTTACAATACCTCACAGCATAATTAGGCTGTCAGAGAACTGCACTCCATTTCTCTCTGCTTCCTATTCCTGTTGGAGATCTGTGTTGCTTCTTTAGCATTAAAAAAAAATAATCAGTGGGGATGAAGGAAGACACAGAAAACTCCTCCGCTATCAAAATAGCAGGGAAATGGGAGGGAACAACCAAACAGAAAGGTCTGTAAAATCCTAAGTGACGTGGAAGTGATGAACAGGGAACAATTGTTCACGGTTTCTTCCAATAGCAGTACCAGGAGGTTATCAGCTAAAACTAGTATATGCAGGCTTGACACAGGCAAAAGCAGATGTAGTTAAGCTCTGAGATTCTTTGCCATAGCACACTTTGGATGTTAAATAAGTAAGTGCGTCCTGAAAGCATCTGGGCAAACTCCTGGAAATTCATCAGTGGCTACAAAGACCTCACTGCTGGTTTAAGTCACCTGAAGGTGACGAAGGACCCCAGCACCCTTCTCCTGTGCTTCTCTCAGCATCCTCTACCATCTGCTGCCAACCACTATCGGGGCAGAGCGCTTGGCAAAGGTGGCCTTTGGTGAGGCCTGCTATGGCTACCTCACAGCGTTCAATTAGCAAATCTCACACCTAAAGCACAGGGTTTGAGATGCGTGGGTCGAACCACAACATGATTCTTCATCAGAAGTTCCCAGGTGACAAACAGAAGCTGCCACTGGAAGGCCTCAGCTGCGCCTGGGGACGGGAGCGCAGCCTCCTCTGCTCACCCTGATAGATGCCTTGTTACAGTAGACGCGAGTGATGGCAAGCCAGGTGGGCAGCTCGAGCACATTCTGCAGCACCTCTTCATCCAGCTCCAGGTTGGTCAGCTGCCCCTGCCCTTTCAGCGTGCTCAGGTTGATTTTGTCTGGAGAGAGATTCTTGGTAAACCTACAAGAGAAGAAAGAGGAGACTAAAAACAACCCCCAGCAACACTGCTGAGACTAGAGGCGCCTTTAAGAGAGCTATTTTAAGTATAAGAATCTGCTTGCTGTTTTGTTAAATCCTTTCTGACATTTTTTAAACCCAGGGCATTTGGTTGTTCCAGGAAAAAAAAAAAAAGTCTTTACACTTTGACATTTGAAGGGCTCTTTTTGTTTGTTCGCTTTTTGTTTTAAATCAAATTTGAGAAACTGAAAATTCCTTCTAAAGCACTGGGAACCTGGAAACCAGCAAAATTGCCCTAGGACAAAACCAATGAAAACGAAAGCCAAACTGCAACAGGTCAGCAATTTTACTCCCCCCTCAGAAGTGCCATAGCAGTGGTGAAAAGTTTAATTATCTATATTCTTTTTGAAGTTTTTGGCACAGAAAAAGAAAAGGTTATTAATAAATTACTTCTATGGCTGTCTCTTTAAACACCAGTCACGCAGGCCAGCCTGCTCTTCGGTCAGCAGGTCCAAACATGCAACCTAACCCCCCTCCCCAGTGACCAGCCCAAGCTCCTGTCCTCCTCCTTTTGGCAAGCAGCAGCTGCTGCTCTCTCTGCTTGCAATTCCTCTCCCCAAGGGCTTCTGTTGTTTCCACCTCCCTTGTAGGCAGCCTAGAATCTTCAGATCCCCCATTGTGTCTTGAAGTTTAAATGCAACAGATGAAATAATTTCAGCAGGACTGCTCAAGAGCAGCGTATTGTGAGGCAAATCTGAAACTCCAACTTTATTAAAGCCACCGTGTGCCTTAAGGAACCAGAAGAGCCAGTTTAGAGGGCAGTAGACCACAGAGGCTGTATGTGTGTCAGCAACGCCTCACCAGGACGGCTGTCTCCATCAAACGTTTCTGTGCAAAAGGGGCCACCACCAAGGGAGCGAGGCAGCTTGCACCAGGACACTCCGCAGTCGCAGGGTTCAATGTTGAAGACTTCCTGCCAAACAACTTACTGACTACTGAAGCCAGGGCTTATTCCACACATTCCTCCATGCTAATGCTAATTCTAATTCTGTACAGTGGTCCAGAAAGCGGAAGAGAAAGAAAGACCCAATTGTCAGCGTAAGCAGGATTAGTTGGTCACACGCTGCCATTCTCTCTCCTTTCCCTGCACCAGCAGCGTGGGCTACTTCTCTGTGAAAGGCACAAAGGGCATCTTGAACAAAGTCATTGCTCAAAGAGGGGAGGGGAGGAGAAACCAGAGCAAGACTGCTGGGATGGCAGCTGATGTGGCCACCGTAAGGGCACAAGGTATAGAACAAAACCAGCTGAGACACCAGAGCAGCTGCTGGTCAGGCAGCCCAGGGCTTCCTGGAGGAAAAGCACCTTTCCAAAGCAAACGTTTTGTTAGGAGAAAGTCTGGTGGACGGTGAAGAGCTGCTGATGTCAACCCTACACTACCGATGCAGCAGCTCCTGGAAGAGGAGGGTGGCACAAGCAGCTGTGAGTTTGCCTACTGCTGCTTTTTACCTTGATCCCTGCTACTGCAGAGTCCTCTGCTGCCACAGAAGCCCGAGTCAGACGTTCACTGCATCACGCTGTCACCTCCCTCCCTCCCCTGAGCCAAAGGTACACACTGACAGCTGATTAAAGACCAAGTTTCTAACACACCTGCCAGCATCTCAGGCTGACACATTCACTTTAAACTCGTTACTCACGTTAACCAGGGGCCCTCTTGTTTAAACACACCCAGGAAGGGAGCCAAGTTCAACACTGCTTCTCAGCATCTGTACAATGAAATAACATATTCCAGAGCGTGCTACGGTGGCTGTTGCATGGGAGGGGAGACACAGGGACAGGCTGGGTGTCTGTAAGGTCTATGCTTGTAGCCCTGTTGTGAGCACCTACAGCCTCAGACACAAATTAGACCAAATAACCCCCAGAGGCAATACATGAGCATCCTTGCCTTACATCAGCGAGCCAGCTCTGTTGAAAGCTGTTGTAATCATGTCCACTGGGATTGGATACTAAGAATAAAACAAATACAACCTGAACAGGTAGGTAATAAAAAGCACTTGGCACTGTTAAGCTCACGGGCTGCTGCAGGTAGCGATCAGCTTACAGCCAGGGAGAGGCTGAGGCGCAGAGTAGCTTTCTCACACTTGAAAAGCAAGGATCAAACCCCTGGTGTCTCAAATCCTCATCCCAGGCTAAGCACGCTTAGATGGGGAAGCTGCTTTCAGCTGGTAACGCAGAAGCAAAATATAAGGACGTGTCTCGATCAGGGAATTACTTTTATTTAGTGTGTATGTGTATCAAAACCCAGGAACACAGTGAAAGGACGCTAAAGATGCGAAACAGGACACTGGTGGAAAGCGTGGTATGAAACATGATCTAGCCAAAGCCAAGTAACTATTTGTCATCATCTACAGGGAAAGGCTGCAGAAATCCGGCTGAACAGGTAAGAAAACTACCCCAAGTACTACCAGACTCTACAGAAGAATGCTTTTCATCAGGCATTCTAGATGCACCAAAATGTGCCATTCCACCCCCAATGGAGAGGTTACAGACCCCACCAAGGATGGGACAACAGAAGCTGCAAGTTTAGCAAACAAAAACCCAGAACTGAAACAAATTCTTTAAACCACAGTCAAAATTCCTGAAGCTAAGCCTATTACCAAGTCCCCCACTCTCAGTCTCCTTCCCTGTAAAGGAATCAGAGATCTTTGCATGGAATAATCTTTGAATTTAAGACATTTTGATACAGATAATGCATGTTAGATGAGGCTTACAAGAGGAAAACAGATGAAGTGTGCCTATGAACTCAGGAGTTCACAGATGCTAAATCTTCATTACTTCTTGAAAAGAACTGCTTTGGTCACCGTCACGGGAAAGAAAAAGCAGTGAGAGCAGACAATTTTAGATGTTTGTTGGCAGACTTGCTCCATTCATACTCATCAACAGTAACATTTTTGGCAGCATGGATTGCTGGCTTAGAGAAAAGTGAATGAAAATGGTAGCTATTAGGAAAACTGACAGGGCGGAATATTTGCACTACTTTTTTTTTTTTTTTTCCCCAACTCTAACAGAAGTCACGTAGCGCTAATCCAGTAAACTCAAAGGACAGCACTCCTTTTGAGCTTGCCAGGATTACCATGACAAAAGTCAAACCAGAAAACCTTTTTCTATCTCCTATGGAAATGTCACTGCGGAGTCACAAGGGCATTTTGCATGGGTGTACACTTCCACCAGCATGCATGCATCCACACTAACAGTACCGTGAGCAACATTTTGTCTCTGAAAGCATCTGCCAGCCAGAAGCTGATCTGCTGATCTGCACAACAGCCAAATGGGCCATCACAGCCACCAGCATCGCCACCTTCAAAGCATATAAAAAGAGCTTCCTGCATTCACAACCAAGGCAATGGGAAATACAAGCCAGAAGCTTGCAACAGCTATTGCTAGGGAAATCCTGCTAGGTGAAGCCTCTTACTTAGCCCAGCAGCTTGCGGCAAAGAGTTTTCCCCACAGTCTGTTTCTCACTGTTTCTTTCCACTTTAGATGACATGAGCATTAGGGCTCTTAATCAATGTTCATAAGAAGCAGACAGATACAACCGTTAACGACGCTATCCTAATTTCATAGCAGACTGAAGGTCTCACTCTCTCCCAAGAAGCTAACCACATGCAAATGATTTAAACCTCAACGCCTTCTTGGGATTTGGCCTAAAAGAATGATGCTCTGTACAGAAACCCTCAGCTTTCTTGGGCAGTTTCTGAGATCATGAATTGATTTGCTCTGAAGCCTCATTTCATGTTTTAGATGGAGAAGGCACAGGAGCGTCGCTCAATCATTAGCTTGAATATACATCAAAAAATGATGTCATTACTAAAAGAATGACTGCTCGATTCATCAGCTTGCATATCCAGAGGCCACAAACTCACTGATTGCAAGAGGGAGTTTGGCCAAATCTGATTGCTGGCCCGAAGCCAGGCTATAATCATAAATAATAAATTTATGTTCACATTTGTAGCTGTCTGGCCACACTGTCTCCAACTGAGCAAATACATAGACAGATAATCTCAGGAGAAGACGTCTGAAGTCATAAAACTTCTTTCCAGATCCATCTCTCTCATGACCTTGCTGCCACGTGGTACGGGAGCCCTCCCGTCAGTACCTTCACACGCTCAAACTAGATTTTCTGCCTCAGCTTCTTCTGCAGTTGTTCAGTAATCACTGTCTATTGTACGTAACCACTACCTACAGCTAAACACATCTATTTCTATTAATAACCTTTGTTACTATGGTTATTATATATGAGAACTAATTAGCAATACACCACTGACCTTGACTTTCCTTAATGACAAGCATCATCTATTGGCAGAAGCAATAGAACTGTATGGCTTGCAATACCAGCCGCAGATAGCAGATGGAAAAATACTCAAACCACAAGTAAGCCAGGAAGGGAGTAACTTGTCAGCTGCAATCTGAAAACAGATGAGCAATATTAAGAGCCCCAGAGAAACTGCTGCAGACAAGGTTCATGCCTTCATAAGGGCATGGGAAGTGATGAAGATTTTCTGCTTTAATTTGTAACACAAATACATAATCTAAGCAACTATGGCAGAAGGACAGAAATCAGACATGGAAAAAGAACTATATCCTGGCCAGTGTGGATTTGCTCCTTACCCAAAGTCGTTCCCAGCACCTTGTCCTGTTAGGTTTTGGACAGGCCATTTAATGGGATTTCCACGTTCCTTGGGAAGATCTTCTACAATCCAAAAATCTCTGCGATAGGACATTTCCTCTCATATTAAACCTTCTTATCTTAGGAGCCAAAGAGCCTGTTTACTTGGAAAAAAAAAGGTTCATGACTAGTAAAGAAAAGGTTAGTGACTTCCCAGTACAGGAAAACTTGAAGGAAGTCAGCAGCAGGTACTTTAACTGCGAGATATGTGTCTGAGAATGAACTGAAAAATAACTTTTGAGGAAATAAAACTGGGCAACTGATTGAAACTTCTGTAAAAAGGGAAAAAATAGCTGCCTCGAAGACACTTAGTAAGAAGAAGTAGAAGTCCTTTCAGAAAGAAAAGCTATTTTACTTACTTAAGCTTTTGGTATAACTGTGGAGCAATCTGTCTGGTGAGCATGCACAGGACCAATAAAGATTGAGAGATTTGGAGTTGCAGACAAGGAAGAGAAACACATTGAATTAGCAGAAGACGAGACTAATTTATGCACAGTATTAGAAGGTATCTAGTACTAATCCAGTTGGTATCATACCAACTTAGTACAACGCCATTTAGAATTTAATGGAATCTGATCAATACCAACCTAACCAGTTGTTTACAAGATGGAAAGCACCACAACTTATTATTGAAAATCATCTCTAACTCCAGCTCTACACTGCGTACAGTAGTGGTGTACCCTAGATACACTGCTAGGCAGTAATATTTTCCTTTGTGGACAAAGAGGTCCCAATGTGATAAGCCTGATGACTTCGCCCTACTTAAGTTACACAACAAACTCCGTACACGGTACCATGGAGCCTGGGAACAGCCTTTAGCACTGTAGGCTCCTTATCAGGGTGGATTTAAGTGCACTGATGTGCCTGTATACACATACCACTGCTGGCTTTAAATTACCAGCTTTCTGTTTTGCCAAGCTTCATCTACATTGAACAAAAGGCTGGAGAACTCAACCACCCAAAGCCAAATGCAATTCCACGTGGGCCACAAAACATCTTTACGAGTAATTAGTTGTCTTGGCTTCAAGTTATCTATTGCAATGCAACACAGCTAAGGTAAAAAGACTTAAAAATTTAATTCAAAGTTCAACTTGCGGAGGAAAAAAAAAATAATCAACATTTCCAAACAGATCAGGAACAAGACTGAACTATTACACAAAGCAGAAATGTCAGCTCACTCCTCCCCGAAATCTGCATCCTCACTTACTTAGGCCCCTGAGGACACTTTCTCATTCCCAACAGAAATGACTCTTAAGGACTCTGAATACTGAAATACTGAATACTCTGAAAACTGCCAAGGCTCCAGACTAGGTGCGCTTCTCGTACCACACCCACTGTACTAGGAGACCTGTAAAGCAAACCATACACTAATATGAAAGGAAAAGAGGCCGAGGTTTTGGCAGGGGTTGAACTCCACCTCGCTGAGGAACTGTGATACTATTTCTAGCTCATCGGCTGGAAGCTCAGTAAAGTTTAAATGCCAGCTGCCCTGTCCTCTGAAATCTGGAAGGCAAAACCTTGTCAGCTGCCGGGGAATTTCCCAAGACTAAGCCTCAAGCAAATAATAGCACACGAAAGAAAAGTAGGAAGAAACATATAAATAAATGCGTTAGTCACAGGGCCAACTTCTCAGATTTTAAGAAGTTATTCACCCTGCAACGCAATCTGCACTTCTGTTTCCAACCTGCAGAAAATAACAGGTTAGTACAGAATTCAGACTCAACTGAGCAACTGCAGAGGAGGTAAGAGCTCAAGGAACCTAGGAGAAATGAGACAAGGGGAGAAGGATCATGTTTGACAGCCCCTTTTCCTGACCCATCACTCAGTCTGAAGAGTAGCAGCGGTGCGGAGAGCTTCCATGCAGCCAGCGCAAAGCTCTGCAGAACTCAGCAGCTGCTGTGAGGATATATCCAGCCTCACGAGTTACTGAAGTGCAATTTATTTTTGCTGCAACAAGAGTCTATTTAGCATTCCAGAAATGGCACATGCCTCTCTCTCGAGCAGAGTGGAAGTGGTTGGAAAGACCTTGCATCCAGCAGCTGACGCACACTTCGTAAAACTGACAATTTGGTTGTTCTGGTAAACTGCAGCATAGCAACCCTGATTTTAGAGATTACTCTCTGTGAAAACAAAATGCCACGTCCTGTTATGTGCACACCCTCTTTTCCCACCCCGTCTTGAACAAAGAAGTGGTAGTGTTTATTGCTTTACTCCATAATAGCCTGGGGTTCCATCTTTCCATCAAGAATTCCTCAATATTAAAATTTTAAAACATAAAAAAGCCATCAAAGTATGCCAGGAAAATAAGAAATCTCCAAATTACAACATTAAAGGGTTTGCATCCAGCCTTAAATGCTTTGCTAGACACAGCATGTAAGAACTTAAGAGACAAACTTATTACCAGTGGTTCGATGCTGGATACCTCAGGAGCTCTGCCCGATGGCCTGCGAAAGAGCCACTGCTGGGTAGGAGAGCTGGCAACGCTTCTTTCTTATAAATTTGCTCAAGAGTTTCCTGCTACAAACCGTTCCCACCCCATTCCCAAAACGGCTTCTATTTGCCAGTGTTCCCAGAGCTGTTTTCAGAGCAATCTACAAACCTCCTCCTTAATATTATCTCTACTTAACTGCTGGGGAAACTATGGCACCAATTGATAAGGTGACTTCCCCACAGCACCACACTGCCGACTGCCCTCCAGACCCAACCACATGCCCTACCCAACACAGCCCTGTGGCGGATGGGCTGCGGTCATCTCCCATCCGTCCCCAAGCTCTCCTGCCTTCTGAGAGATGTGTCCTGCTGCTCTCAGCCAGGTGAAAATCAAGATATAGAACTTAAAAATTCAGGGAGGTTATCCACACCCAGGCTACCTGCTCCTGCAACGTACTTGGGTTGCTCAAGTCCTCTTTAGCCGTGCCAAAATGTGTGCAAGCCCCTTGCAGGTGTGAGAACACAACCGCATCCTCCTCCTGCCATTCTCTGCTGCTGTTTGCCCGAGTGCTGACTGCGGGAGGGGGTTATTTTGGGCTTTAGCAACCAGATTTGGTTTTCAAGCCTTCATGCTTTGGATTCCAGCTTGTGTGCTTTGTGGCTCTTGGGCACCAAAGAAATCGTTACCTGGCTGAACAGAATGCACTGAAAAGCAGGGACGGGATGCTTTGCAGATGGAAAAGTAATGGCTTTTTTATCATCAATTTTTAACTGCTAGAAGCTTCATGGTTTCACATATTTCCCATAGCTGCAACAGCTATTTTAGGCAAATTATCTTCAGTGGTAGAAATTTCCCTGATCACTAAAGGAGGATACTAAAGCAGCTAAAGCCAAAATTGCAATGTTGGTCTCAATTCTAGCCAAGAGACTGTCCCAGGCGAAGGTTGTCCAGAGGCCTCTTCTGCCTAAATCACTCCATGATTACATCGCTTCATCAGGCCATTCCCAGATGCAATTTCCTTGCTTTCCTCCCTATCCACCACGCTCTTTAAATTTCTTCCAGTTAATTTAGAATCAAGGTCAGGAAACTAGGAGAAACCTGAAGGGTTAAATGGTAAACACACAGCTCACACTGTTTCTAAATCAGAGGGTTTCCAACACATTTTACTAACTGAATGTGCCATCACTTTGACTGTCACTGCAAGGGCACAGCTGCATCTCAGTGTTTGAGCGCACAGCAATGCTGCAAAACACTTCAGGACAAGTGAGAAGTAAACAGACCGGAGAATGCAGGCTGTATTTTCTTATAGTGATTTCCAGATTGCAGTATTTAGCCAAGAAATGTAAGCACTGAGGGGAAAGAAGTGTGCTTTGGACTTAGGAAATTCTCCACCACTCCACGTTGGGCAAATGATGCGTATCTGAGATCATACAAATGATGATCCAACCTTCTGCCCAGTGCAAGCCACAGAGCCCATCTCTACGATTCCTGAACAGCAGAGACTGAATCCTCTTCTTCTGCCTCTTGTCCCCATCTTTTCTGAGGAGAAGGAGGGGTCTCCTCAGGATAACACATCTCACTTCTGCCATCCTGACCTACCAAAGCAAACGGCAGGATGACCATCAGCTGCAATGGCCTTTCTTTGTCTTGTCTTAGCCCAAGAGCATGTCTTTGATGGTGGGGGTGGATAGAGCGCAGACAAGGAGATCGAGATCCCGTACCTTTGAGCACGGAGGCACAAATAGCTCCAAGACTAACTGAAGGGCTAATGCAGTAACGCTACAGAACAGGCAGGGCTCACGTGGCAGAGAGCAGTTGCAGGTCTTGGAGCCAGCTCTGAATTCTTTGCATGTGGCACAGAAGTAGCACAACTGCGTGGAAGGGGCAATACCAAATGAATTTGTAGGACTAGGAAGGGATTCTGAGATTCTTACTTCCAAAGTTATGAAACAACAGCCCACAGAAGCCTACATGTTCCTAGCTCAGCAGACTCTGCAACACCCACGTGTTCCTAAATGCTAAATTGACCTAGAAGAAACTAAAGATACACTACAGGCCTTCCTGATATTTTCACTTACCTACTAGCAACGGTTTTATCTGTTGCAAGGACCGGGCGCAATTGCGAATGAAAGAGGGGTGGAGACAAGGCAATCTCATCTGGAAAAAGGCAGATAGGGCCTAAACCACCGGGAAGTGAGAAGAAAGGCTCTACTAAGATGCAGTACAATTTACGAGGAGTTCCACGACGCTGTTTCTTCTGGCTGTGTACTTGACCTACATCTACAAGCATCAAAGTATTACAACCTGCACATGCTACTTAATCGTTTTGCCTGTAGGATTTTTTTTACTCTTTCTAAAGCCCATCTTATTTATCCAAATTGGTGGGTCTGATACTATGCTGCGAAAGACAGTTCTGCCAACTTCTGCCATGCCTTGTCTTCTTCTGTGTGACATCAGGATGGAGAAGTAGTGACAATTGACGGGACAATCGATAAACCTGGCTGTGTAGCCTTGCACCTGCCAAAGATAATTTGGCTTCAGCCTTCCTTGGAAAGGTTGTACTGTCCAAAATGTTACCCGTCATTAAGCAACCTCCCAAAGCTGGGAAAGGAGGAAAAAAAACCAACCAACCAACAGAAGCATAGCATAGGATGACACAGAAAACCTTGCTACA